TCAGAAATTTTCAAATTATTTAAATGATTTATATTAAATTTTTTTTTAGTGCTAAGATTTTTTCTTCTCTGGAGGGGATGGGTCTTGGACTCATATGAAAGCCGCGAAGTAATATCGGGTAAAATATTACGTATACTTTAAAAGTTTTCTATAACTTTATGTAAACTTCATTCATCTTGGGATGTATTGAGGCAAGCATCTTCCATATACTATAATTACTATAATATGTCGCTCGTTATTTACGGAAAAACAACAGATGTGTCACATGTTCAATTGGTTCGCTGGTTGCACGGAAAATGTATACTCATTTCAAGAAAATCGTTAAAGACATTTTATAAAAGGTGTTGTCCATAGCTACACTATTTTCCCTGTTTCGTGATGGCATGATATCCGGTCTTTTGAGGTTACGCATAAATGGATAGATTTTCTTCGCTATAGGCATGCGAATGGAGACACCATCGCCATTCAAATTTCTTGTCGCATTGTTTACATTATGGTTACTTGTTATTTGATTTGGATTATCGTAACGCAATCATTGTCCATCATCGGTTATGATTGAGCAAACACTTCTTGGCATACAACAATACCGTGACCAGCAATGAATTCCTTATAAAAACCAGAACACTACTTGCGTTCGCCTTTTCTTTTTTGCACAGAGAGAACTCATCTGATTCACAACTCTGAAAAATAGTCTTAACACTAGCAGTACGCTGTAGCTTTTATGCTATTACGTAAAGCGTAGATATAACACTTTCAGGTGGAGAGGTCACAAATTGACCATTGCTGATAGATAAGGTAATCTGGTTTCTTGAAGAAAATCATTGCCACTTATATGGACAAGGAAGTGTTCATGTTTGTTAAAAAACATTGCAAAATATTATATAATTAATATGCACTATTTTTGGAGTCAGATTTTTGCAGAGCGCGTCTTAAAACATTCTTGAACTGGAGCACTATAGACAACAAAAAGGGAAAAACACAAGGAAAAATATTATTAGATCGAGTCATAAGTAATTTTTGTCTTTTTATCGGACATCAATTTATTGTTTCCATTGAACGATTTAACAGATGATTGTGGGGTATTCAACCTTTTTGCGATACCTCTTGTTGATTGGCGTGAATTTTGCTTTCATATTGCCGTTAAAGTCAGAAGGACGTCCCACGTTTTAAGGTCGTATCTCAAGAAAGGAGATCAGTTATCAGTTCTTCGCCGCTGTCGCCTTAGCGCTATTGTCTTGTTTAACTTCCCATGTCGAATATGGTACACTTATTGACTCTTCATTTCAGAGGTTAAGAAAAACAGTTGAACGTAACATGTACCACATAAAACAATTGATAGAAGATCAACTGACTCCTCATCTATATAGTGAAAGTAAAGACTCATTTGTTTCCGTGACTTGTAATGGGTAAAGACGATAGCAATACCTACCTAGCTGCATGGGAAGTTACTTATGACTCGACCTAAGATAATAGAACGGAGTTGTAAAAAAAAAAAAAAAAATGGTTTGCCATATAAAAGTTTTTGCCCCGTAGCAATGGTTCTATGGGCATATATATTATATTGTAAAATGTAGGGCATTTGATGCAAGCTATATGGTATATATCTAGCAATTTATGACCAGACGTTTTTGAAAAGTGAAAATTTATTGCATTTCAGCATTTTCCTAAAACTAAGCGTTCATACCAGAGAGATTATGTGATGTAGTGAAAATGCTCTGATTCAGTTCATATTCATTAAGTTTTATCTTTGCGGAAGGACATATGCTTTAGAATTAAGTTTATATCACGATTTATATAGTTATTGTATAATAATCAAAATTTAGCGTAAGAATAAACAAAGGAGAAAATTTTGAAATCAAATTTGTTTTCCTTGGTAGGTAGAACTTTAAAATCATAATTATGAAGCAGAGAATTGCACGGGGAGAGAAATCAGGAACGGGAAAGTAATCTCCGTTTACTTGGTCCAATCGGGCATATAATAGGCGGTCCTCCTGATGCGCAATAACTACGACGCTGCATAAAAATAGATGTAAGAAATCAGAGTATACCCTATCTATTCCCATTGCATGATGATGATGATGATGATGATGATAATGATGGTAATGATGATGATTATGATGACGTATTAGATTTGCCTGAAAGTTTAGTTCAATAAGCATATTTATGTAAATCCCTTAACGTCTCTTCAAACTCATAGAACAAATTAAGTGTAACTTTAGTAAAATTGTGTACGATATCTGGCAAATGTTTTTAGTTTTGTATTTGGTAAGCATTTGGCTGGCACTGTATTATTACATTTTTTCTCTCTATATCTTGGAGCTATTTCGATTACACTACCTTTTGTTTGCTTTTTCCATTTATCTTAATCAGCAGGAACCGTTCTTTTAATATCCAGCATCGAACGATGAGATTGTATTCATTTTGTTGAAACGTTTGCAACACCCAGGAGGAAACTTCACATATGTTAGCTTCATTTTTAAATCCTAGGCATGTCTATCTAGGCGTCTATGTAATGTTGGTGGTAAACATTTTGTTGATCACAAAACATCATTGAGATCGGCTTCAAAATTCCAATAAGATCAGATAAACTAATGTTGAAAATGATTTAGATTGGTCAAAGGACACACACATACAACATATAACATGAAGATAAAATGCACAAATCTTGTTCATTACTAATAAACAATAATAGTTAGGACAACTCGAAAATATTTACGTGTGTTCTCTAATTGATTCCACACACACACACACAGTATCTGTTGCACTAAAATTTGAATAAATCAATCGGGCGTATCATTTACTAGGGAGTATCGAAATTTTCCTTTCTTTTTTTTTTACTGTTTTTTTAAATTTCTTTTTAAGAAAAGATTTGGTGGTGGATAGAGAGGATTCGGTGAGCGCCGAATAACATTTTTCTTTGCTTGTCAGTTTTGTTTATGTGAAGGTAAATGTTCGCACAATAAGAAATCATTTATTATGTTTGCTCAAACGTAGAAAGAAAGAGTAGATTGAACCTTTGAAAATTATAATGCATGCATGTCGTTGAAAGGCAAAAAAAAAAAAACCTCGCTAATGAGAATTCAAACACACATCTCGCTCAGATTTCCATCAAAATTCAGTTCGCATACAAAACGTACTCGCAAAGCGCGCAAGTTTTGCTTGGTGTGCTAAGGAAGTGAAATTTTTTTATAAATTACAAGAGATTGTTAAGAAACGCTGTTCGATTCTGTTTATTTCACGATAAGACTCGCGACAATCAAGTCAGTCTTCGCGGATTCGGAATCACAGGAAGGTAGCGCGATTAATTGTTTCGTTACCGGGACTATATTGTTCGCTTAGTCGATACTTTAAGCCTAAAAATATTGTAAACTTGTTTACCTTGAACTTGAGCCGCTGCTTTTAACCGATCGTGTTGTCTATAATATCACCACCGTCTTAAGTCTAATTTTTTTCAGAAAAAAATGTTGATTATTATCCATAGGATAAATTTGAAGTCTACAACTTGGGAAAATGTCTTCCGTTTTCCACTTTCACATCACCTTGACTTGTAAGTCGCATATATAGCACATGAATGCATTAAGAACGTGGTAAAGGGGGAGAGAGAAAAGTTCATAAAAAATAAACTTAAATCTTGCTAATATATAGAAAATCAAAAAAAAAAATAAATAAAAAATAAAAAAAGCGAATGACGTTGGTGTTCCACACTGATGAACACTAACTAATTAGTTTGTTTTAAGGCTTTTCATTAATATCTGCGATTGCGTCTAAAGTTCAGCTCAGTCAGTAGTCAGCAAATAAATACGACTTTAAAATCGTTTAGTGTTTTGTTCGGTATTTCAATTAAAAAGTTTGCCTTGTCCGACGATAATAATGAAAACTTTCATGGTTTTTGATTTTGTTTTAGTTTGATGAGTGATATATGCTAAGTGATAAGTTCTTCACATTATGTGAGTATATTTGTGTCTATCTGCGAAAGATGGAACCAAGAACATCTTTTCATACGAAATCCATTTTTGGTTACAACTCAATGGTCGCCTTGACGAAGCTACATAAATACATTCTTTGTTGTTTTTGTAAAAGTCCTTCTAAATGAACATTAACACATCCATTAATGTAGCGGCGCGGTTATAATACAAAAAGTACGAAAGCCAAGTCACACCTAATCAACGAATGTATAGTGGAATTTATTGTTAGTGCACTATTCAAAACAAAGGTAGCTTTTCATCGATAACCAACTGGTAGTATCAGAATTCGTCTGCTGACAGACTTCCTTATTATTTGTTAGCAAAACTGGAGGTCCAACATTTGCCCAGGTCTGTTATGAATGTATAGGCCGCGAGGAATACAAGTTGGCTGCGGGTAAAGCATTGCTATGCCGATACTTCCACTTGAAAATTGAAAATCCATACGAAAAAGTTGCATGACTGATTTAGGAGGTATGGAACGAACATTAGAACATACATATGCTATGTATTGCCGATAACCTAAGAGCTTTGCGTTATAAACTATTCTCCTACCAATAATACAGATAATTGTAAATAATAAAAGAATCAATTGCATCATATAGGTTTATCATGTATTGGCATTAGCTTTAAAGATATTAAGCAGTTTTGAAAATTTCGATACAATCAAACATCATTTACTATTGAGCTTAATATTCAATTATATTTTCTTAAGGTTAACTTTAAAAACATACATACTCTCCTTTCAATATAGAATAGAGGTGTATGTTTGCATGTGCTTACGTGCGAAAAGGCACACGAAATGATATCCAAATTCACGTCAGGTCAAGTTCTATGATCCCTTTGAATTGCACACAAAGCACATAAACTAGAATTTTTTTAGCAATTATTGGATAATAGGGTTAAGTTACTATTCAAACTTATTGAAGGTTAACAATACTGTTAAACGATTAATGTGTATATATATTTATCGCTTCAAGATTTTGCTAAACACTAACCTTTTTTTTATTATTTATTTTCTCTTCTTTTCTTTTTCAGCTTGAAGATCCTAAATAAAGAAATCCCAGGAATTTATTTACAAAACAAACAAAATGAAAACAAACTAACTGACTGATTTTCAACAACAGAAACTTTTATAAAATATTTTCCATTTATATACACAAATACAATACGTAAGGAAAATCAATAAGAAAATAATAGTTAAAAATTAACAAAGGGAATTTTTTTCTCATAATTACAATAATAATAATTACAATAATAATAATCATAATACAAAAAACAAAAAATTAAAAAAAAAATAAATAAAATAAAAATAAACGCAAGGAATGCAGCGTTGTCCTTACATACATGAAATGCGAGAACGTTTATTAAACGATCAACCACGTGAATCATTACCACTAGAACATATGGAGCGTGCAAATCTTTTAGATAATCGACAATCAGCTGAATCTCAACAGGTCGGCACAATAGTCAAGGTAGGGGCTAAACAATTAAATGCTACGTACAAGGATTTCAATCAATCTATTATTAAATGCAATACTCAATAGTTATCGTTTCAAGTTCTGAGTTTTGAATCTTACTTTAATGTTTAATATCCTTGCACGAGTGTTATGTTGGCCCTGTACTTTGTGTTTACATAATTTATCATAAAAAATAAAAAAAAAAATAAATATAAATAAATAAATTTAAAAAAAAAAATAAAAATAAATAATAATAAAAAATAAAAATAAATAAATAAAAAATAAATATATTTTTCTTAAATATTATACAACTTTAATACGCAACACTCTCTCAACACACTTCACAAACGTCACTGACATGCATTGGTATTAAAATTAAAATTTATACTCATAAACATCTCAAAATTGGTTTCAAAGAAATAAATAGAAATTGGAAATTTTAAGCTCCTCAGCACACGAAACATTCCCCATATACATATCTTACCTATAAATTGTTATATATTATATATACATATATATATATATATATATATATGCATGTTTTTCTTATTAATGACTGATAGAGTTACTTAACTATTCTTGAGTTCGCCGAAGACTTTGACTTTGTGTTTCATTTTAGTAGACAATGTACTTCTTAAGTGTAAATAACTCCCTCCCTCCACATAGAGACTTTAGCGTGAAAATTTGAAAATGTTTGAAAATTTCTTTCTATATACATATATATATATATATATATATATATACATATGTCAAACGGCTCTAAATGTGAGGATAGCACTGAGCATTGCGATATCGCAAAATTCCTGAGCAATATTATAGGGGAAATGAATTGGCTGCACGTTGCACTCTACGCGCCGTAGGCATTAATCGATATGCTGCTAAGAGAAGTTGCTTAACTTAAAGCCTAACATGGTTTTGAAGACCAAATCTTACAGCGATATTATCGATTATGACTGGAATGTATTTCGTCGGCCTCTACGGCTATACCTATTCGGTGCAATGGTCTGTACATATGCAGAAAATCAAAAAGACTGGTTTACTACCTTTTTCCCCATCTACTTTCGCAATTCTTGACCATCACACATTTTGAGAAATGAATTCTTTTTGAACGTTTGCTCATTCAAAAAAAAAAAAAAAAATTGCTAATCGTGTTTGCTTAGCTTGTTCAAGCTGTAGTAGGCTTATTTCAAATATTTGAAAAACATGTAGGAAACTGTATTATGAAATATTTCAATATTTGTAAAAACAAAATCAAAAATTTTTGAAAATAGACTACCGTAGTGCACGTTTTCAATTTCAATTTTTGTTTACTTCTGTATAAACAAAGTTTATATGTAAATAAGTATATTTTTATATTCACATATAATGCGGCTTTGAAAGCACATTTTGTGATCTGTTGAGGGGTGTTTTTTCTTTCCTATCTTTTAAAAGAAAACAGACAAATTCGCTTCAAGGCGAATGTGCGATACCCAGCACCCATGCATAAGTTTGAATATTTCCCGAATGCAATGCTCAAATTTGCTTCATTCATTTTTATAACGTATTATGTGGTCGTGTCAGTTGAGTAATTTTGAAAGACACAACTCTTTCTTATGGCGATTCGTACGCGGTTATTGAAAGGCACAGAACAAATTATTTGAAGCACGATGCAGGACCGCAGCCGCAACTCAGTCGTTTGTACTAAGACGGAGCAACGTATACGCTTGACTACCTCCAATATAATTCGAATATATATATCGTCTGAACAATATGCAACGTTACCAGTCTATGTCGGTTCTGCGTGGAGCGACTTAAACGTCTTAGTACATTTTTCGGCGCTGCGTATATTTCGTCACGCCGAACACAACGTAGCGTTGCTCTGTGTCAGACAAAAGGTAGTCGAATTTGCGAGCAACTTTAAGTTAAAAGGCGACAAACGTGACCGGATACAATGAACTTTTTAACTCGCGTTACGGATTGTCCATGAATAATATTTGCTACATTATGGGGTTACTTACAAGAGACTTAATATTGTGAAACAATTTTCAAGTGTGGCTAGTAAACAACAGTAGGAATATTACTAATGAGCACGGTCGACCAGAAAGACACCCTACACCATTCATTAATATTTTGTGATAATACACCATGACAGCATACTTTTCAAGAAAGCCCTTTTATTAGACTATGTCGCCATAGAAGGACTTCCCCTTCACGAGTGCCTTTATATAAGTCAAGGTCTAAGAAATGGACCTATATGATTCAAATTCCTTTGGACCAATATTCATTATATATTATTAAAAATTAGACCTTTTAGACGTAAAGGGTTGAATATTTCATGAGAATCCCTGTGTGCGATGATGCCCAATAAATAGGCCTACTTGATCCAAATTGGATATCCTCACGTGCTCTTACAAAACAATTTTCATTATTAAATAACAAAAATTATACATTATTTGCCATATAAAAGTGCATATTTGTCATTAGAACTCTAGTATGAGATACGAAGCACAAAATAGACCTACATGGTCCAACTACGATGAGGATGATTCTTTTCTTAAGTTACTATTACGAACCAGGAATTTTGAAAATTAAGTCGTTAGGAGTCAAAAAATTTCTCCATCCGACCCCAATTTTTCATGTTAATTTAGAATTCCAAAATACTATGACTGAATGACCTTTATCTCGAAATACTGAATATTCTCAATAGTTCCTCATATAAATCTTCAATAAAATTTAGCCTTAGGTCAATGTACAAAATTTTGCAATGGAAATGGATAGGTACCAGAGAGATAGACGGACATATGGACAGACAGGCTTAAATATATTCAGAAAATAATTTTGAATCGATCAGTATAATAAATGGTGAATCTATCTCAAATCTTTTTGAATGTTGTGTAGGGTGCAATAAAGCGATTGGTGGTAAGAAATAAATGTGTTAGAATACAGATTTAGAAAGATGTGTATACAAAAGATCGCGGTCTAAGATAGTCTAACAACGGCTTAACAGATACATCAACAGAGAGAGAGAGATGGAAATGCGAGTAAAACTAATAAAATATGACATAAGACAACAGAAAGATACGAGCGAAACGAAGAGATGACGAACTCGTTAAAACGAAAAAGATCAACAGATAGAAGATATAGATAAAGAAAAGTAATAAATATTCATGCAGACCGATTGGGAGAAGATACGACCAGCCACGGGTACATATTGAGAATGGAAAGTTGAATAATCAGGTGAAGACAAAAAAGATATGGAGCCATCGAATGAACAGAACGATTAAAAAGAAAATAGCTAATCAGGGACTTGGTGCGATGGAATTTAAAGCTGACTGTGAAATTGTATAAATTTTGCACGGCGTCCGGTCGTGATGTGGTGAAATGAAAGAACAAACGTATATAGTGTACGATCTTTTGTGAGGTGTTGGGTATAAAATAAGCCCTTAAAGATTTTTCAATAAAATTAATTGCTAAACATTCTTTTAATTCTATTTTCTTTTTTGGTTATTTTTTGTATTTTTTTTTGTATATATATATATATATTTTTCTTTTTTGTTTATCTTTCTTCTAATCCCATAAACCATCAATTTCATCGCACGAACACCCACATGTATACACAAACTCATTACAATTTGTAAACGATCGCATAAAACAAAAAAAAAAAAAAAAAAAAAAAAAAAAAACCCATTTCATAAACGAACGCGTGAATGTTTAATTGAACGACTGAACCATTGAAATATTTATTATATTATTCTGTTTCGTAAATGTGGTTGTGATTAACCATATAAAACAAAAACAAATAATAGCTGCATGCGGATGGTTATCATACGAGTCCAGCACATCAAAGAACACCGCTGGTTCCAAGGGATCTGGGTGAGGATTTTAATTTGGATTTCGACGATGACTTCCCCATCGATGCTAAACGTCCCAAGAATGCCAAGTAAGTTAGACAGTTTTCGTTGCCTTATCAATTCCTAAAAGATTATAAAAAAATCCCGTAAAATAATCGCCCTTTACTGTCTCTTGCTGTCGGTTTTTTTATACTCCTTCCTATGTCTTTCTTATCTTATGATATGTAGTGCCGTGTAGCTTGTAGTGCGCTTTCTCCTCAATTTTTCCATATTTTTTTTTTTTTTTTTTTTTCTAATATATTTTAAAATTCGTTTCCCACCAAAAAAAAGAAGAGAGTTTGGCTAAAATTTTTAAAATCGCCTTCATTTTGACGCATCTCATCTGTTGTTCTCTGAAAGCTTTTTCTCCACCTCTGCTCTAATGAATTTCATATATGTTTTTAATTTTTTCCTTTTCTTTTTTTCGGCTTTTTCGGTTTTTTTTGTTTTGTATTTTTATTTTTTTTATTTTTGTTTTTGGTTTTTCAACTTTTCATACAATCTTACTAACCGTGTTTTGATCTGTTACTAAAGAAGAAAACAAAAAATGAATTTTTAAATTAAATTTCACCTGTGTTTAAAGTTTTCAATTAATTCTTCTTTTTTTTTTTTAATGTTGTTTGTTTTCTATTTTATTTATAACAAATACGTGATTGATTGGTTTTTTGTGATAAACACAAAAACAAAAACATCAAAAATCTTACAAACGTTAAAACCAAAAAACAATAAGTAACCATTCCAGCTCGTTATCGCAGCTTAATTCAACAACAGCAACAAGACCAACACCAGCACAGCCATCACCATTGAAAAGGTTGGCCAGAGAATTTCTTTGGGGTTATTTACACTAAGCTTAAAGAGTTTCCATTGGATTTCAAACAAATTTGAATTTTTAAAACAAACAAAAAATAATTTATATTTTATTTAGAAAATACATAAATTTATTTAAAACAATTTCACATATAAAAATTTGTTTAAGTGTTTTTCTGTTGTTCTCTAAAATTCTTTGTTTTGGTGCATGGTTTGTGTTTGTTTAGATGGCAATATTTCACACACTTTAGAGAATCGAAACACACACATATATATATATATATATATATATATTTTTTTTTTTTGTTATGTGTATGTAAAGCCACACTTTTACACCTTTACCTTTTTTGTATGCACTAAATACGTAAGCAGTGGGAAATCATTTTCCTGGCGTCATATTTTGATAAAAATTAGCAAAAATTAAAACGAAACGAAATTCGTTTTTTCAATTCATACATTGGGGGTATATTAATGTCATTGTTCGAATCGTTACGCTTAGGGACACGCACGAATAATCCTATAAAAGATATATATACTCGATCATGGCGATATTTCGAGTTGATTTTTTGATGGCTTTCCATCGACTCGTTGTAGCAACACAGCTCCGTCCGCCTGGTGCATCTATCTGTAACTGCTTAACGTTGAAAACCGTTTAGAGAATCAATTATATGCAGTCGGGCGACTAAAATGTAAGCGATGACCGCCTCCCTCTATTAAGTAGAACAATCGTACATAACTTTGTTAATCCACCAGATGTGAGAGACTGAATCGGTGGGAGATTCTCCCATCTGAGGAAGATGAAGGCAATCCTTAATATTATCAATACCTGACTGTTAGTTTGCGGTGACTACAGCCATTAAGAAACCACCCGTAGAGCTCTATCCGACATTCATGCACATTTCGACCACATAAGGGATATTTATTATTGCTTACGGGCTTTGTACAGTGCTTTAGTAAAAGATCGATAGATATTGATTGCAGATGTTGATTTTTTTCGTTCTTTCCTTCCTTCATATTTCAAACACACAAATTGCTACATATTAAGCTACATGAAATCTACAAATTTTCTATAAACTATGCGTCGATATTGATAACGTGCATGAAGTTTGAGTTTTACGTGCAGAAAGAACAGATGCACTTAGGTGAAACAAACATAAATCATGACAATTCATGAACAAATGCAGTCTTTGTAATGTTTTCTTCGATGCACAGTATTTCGGGATATCATTGGATATCATCGAAGATGAAATTTTCAAAAATTGCAAGAAATAAATTCATCTGAAAGGAACAACGCAGAAAGGTATAACATTTTTCATAGAAGTGTTAGAGTAGACCAGCTTGTCTTGATAACCATGAAAGCATCCAGTCCATGCAGACATATTAGTATGAATACTAAGGTGAACGATAAAGTCAATAACAGGATAAAGGCAACAAAAGCTCCCCCTGCAACAACAATATGTTCCGCAAAAACAAAAAAACCAAGCAAAGAAGAGTAGATTTGGTTTTTTTATTAGTTTGGCTAAAAAATTTCAACAAAAATGACTGGCAACGTTACATGTCCGGACTATGTGTGTCTGTTTTTGGCATTCGTAAAGCATAACTGCCTGCGAAAGTGAACAAACTGACGATAAAATAACTAAAAATTTTTAGGAATTTTTTTTTCGCATCGTATTTGAAAACAGAGTAGAAAATAGAAAAAAAAAAAAATTTTTATTTCAATCATATTACACCGGATTCATTTAGTTTTTCTCTTTTTTTTTTTTTTTTTTTGGTTTTCACAAATTGTTTCCTTGTGCTTCTCTTTATTTACTTTTGTTGCACTATGTCTACTGACAAGAATATAATTTTATTTGCAAACTTTTGTCATACGTTCATTGACATAGTAATCCTGGCAAACTTTCCTGGCTGGCACACTTGACTGAAATTATCGTTTATTTACATGGCAAGCCATGTGTGACATTTAAGAAAGAGTTTGGTAAAGAAAAAGAATTTCTTCTGTTTGGCTCCCTTTTGTTTTTGGATAATATGTGAATTATATCTGCAAGTACAACATTTAAAGTATTTAAAATAAATGCGGTATTTGAATAACTTTTTATTTAACTGAATAATGCATTTTTATCTCTCTTCGTCTGCTCTCTTGGATGACAGTTTATCGCAAAAAAGAATAGAGCTAATCTTGCTTGTAAATATCAACTCATTGTCAAAGTGTTTTATCTTATTTTTGTTATGAAGCTGAGTTGAATGACTTCAATAGTTCAACAAAATGCATATTTATCAAAATATCAAATAAGGAAACAATCCTTGCTCTAGTACGAATTTTTACGCCAGTGTTTTTTCCAATACTTTTCCAAGTATTTCTTATATGCGCTTTTTGCTATAGCGCTCTTTATTGCCTTAATCGTGGCATGAGCTCGTCCTTTCATCGATCTTTTCTGTTCTGGAAGCAGGAAAAAGTTGTAAAGACCCAGGCCAGGTGAATATGATAGCTAAGGCATCATTACGGTATTGTTTTTGGGCAAAAAATTACGAACAAGTAATGGCATGTGCGCTGGCGCATTAGTGTGATGCAACATCCATGACTGATTGTTCCAATAATTCGAACAATTCCGGAACGCCATAAGCTAAGCAACAATAGCCCGACATCCTTAGCAAATTCTCTAACTTCTTCTGATTAAACGATTCATTATAAAAGCTTCACTTATTCCACTTAGTCCACGACGGACTTTTAAACATTTTTGTTACTCAAAGCAGACAGCAGCAAGACTCATATTTCTGCGAGATTATCAAAAAAAAAAAAAATAAAAAAATTCGAAATGTTAATCACATTTCCAGACGATACGTTTAGTACATTTCCCTCAAATGCTTATTCGAGATTTATTCAAAAACACTCAATAATGTTAGATATTAAATGTTTACCCGTTTTTCCCCTAAATGCTTTTCATATTTTATTCGCTCATTTTCGAAAATATGGGTCGTTTTCCGGTTCTCGATATCGAATAAACTCGATTAAATCTTACGTGCAATTTATTCTAACGCATGTGAGCTCTTTCTGCACACAAGTACAAGCAGGCGGTTTTTAAACGAATATTTAATTGACAGATTTTCCGAAATAATTTTCTTGTCGGTATTTTTTCGGCGCGTATATGTAGACAGGTGAAGTCTACCTCTTTTCTTGAGTTTTCAATTGATCAGTGATGGCTTGTGCCAAGTTTCATGTTCGTGTGGCGGTTTCCAGTAGTTATGAGCGAAAATGACTCATGACCCAGGTGGAAAACATTGATAGTTTTAGTGTGAAATGCCCAATCATTCGATCCACTGATAGCCTGCTTATAAGGTGCCAGACACGTCTCTGGCTCCAAAGGATAATCTAAATCATCTGCACATTTTCTTTTCATTTTCATATTATCTGATATATATATATACATCAGGTACTTAACAATAACAACCAACAATTCCAGAAGGTGAACGAAAATGTCAGAATCTATCGTTTCTCGCTACATGAAATTAAGTGATACTATGCTTGCTTAAGATGATCTTTTAAGGGCACTTACTTGCTTTTACTTATAAACATTCAAATAAATGAATATAATAATTTGTTTGTATTATTATCGTTTCTTTTTCATTGTTTACTTTCGTCCTCTTCTTCTTTTTCTCATTTATTTGCATTTCCATTTATATTGTTATTCGCACGCTAATGATATTATAAAGTATTCTATTGTTTATGTCTCGATTCGATAGAAGTCGGGCTATATCAATGTACACAACGATACTAATGATAATGAACCGAGTCGAACCGAGTACACACTCGATATCATGAACCGTCCTGATCAAACCCTATTCTTCTCGAAATTGAAATAAAATTTGTGTTTATAGATTTGAATCGTGTTTCACATGACACGCATTTCTGGCTTCAACACACAGATTAAGACCAGAACAACCGATTATAAAGCACGTGATGTTCAAAAATTATTTTGGTGGCTTTTACTTTGTTTTGAGATACCGATGACATATACCTATTGTTACTAAAGGGATTATTTCGATCATCTATTACGGTCGACTTACCGTAGTCGTAAAAGCGAACCTAAGGAGTTGATAGTTAACGTAGTTATTCCTCGTTCGATTAAGTTTTCAGAGATGGATAATTGGACATGATCTGTTCGTGAGCCTTTATGAAGGCAACCATTTTTTAAATCGTGGCTTTTAAAACGGTCAAGGAATGTTTGTGTTAAATTTTAGCTTCCCG